GAAAAAAACTTTAAAATGAAAACTTCATTCCAAGGATCAGAATATAAACAAATTGACTTTTTTATAACATGCTGCTCTTATTTCCCAGGGAATCTGGATTTGTCTTCGTCCGTTTTGATGGGTCTATGAACCAGAAACAAAGAGTAGAAGCAATTCAGCAGTTCCAAAATAATGAAACTGGGTCTCCAACTATAATGTTGTTATCTTTGAAAGCAGGTGGAGTTGGTTTGAATCTGACAGCAGCTTCCCGGGTATTTTTAATGGATCCTGTAAGTATAAACTCCCTGCTCAATGAGTAACATTTAATATTCTATACAATCTATTTAGACACTTAAAACAGGAATGAGGAAATTCTTTGCAGGCTACTCGAATTCTAGTATTGGGGAGGATGGAGCAACTTTTAATCAATTTGGCTATGTTAGGATTAAAACTGAATTATTATCTATATAATATATGTGTGCTTATCATATTAATTATCTGATTAGCACAACTTTTGAAATGGAATGTTTGCTGCAGCACCCACCACCCAATAATGTTAATTACTTGGAATTGAAATGTAAGAAGATGTAATATACATAAGAATAGGCATTGTGTTTTATCTATAAAACATAAAAAGCATATACCGTACAACTATTTTTAAAAAAAGGTGGCTAAAGGTCTAGAAGTAGAACCAACAATCACAGCGGAATGAAACCTGCAAATAGAGTGTCTTTTCAGAATTCCTTTTTGGACAAGGAGATGGCCCATAAGTGCTCCAGCTAGCTGCTCCTTATGAGGAGACAGCAAAACAGGAGTCCTGGTGGTTTTGACCAGGACAAGGAGATGAGGTGAAACCATGGTTGGCACTTTTAAAAGGATACTGGTTTCACATACTTCCTTTTCTAATCACTTTTGAAAATTGCTTATGAACTTCTTTTTAGCTATTAAGAACCTTTGGATTGACAAGTCTGAAAACCCCTTGGGAGTTTCCTTCAGTACTTAAAAAAGCTTTAAATATAAGGTTAAGGACTTAAAACCTGTGTGGAATAAACAGCAAAAGGGATGAGAACTTCAATTTTAGAAAGTTACAAATGGATTAAAGGTCCAGATGGATTTGAAACAAACTTTTTGGAATTAAAAAACTATTTTGAATTCTTTTTTTTTAATGATTGGATGGGACTTTGAAGGTTGGACAGTAGAGGGAACCAGATGAATGAAAGGTTACAATTAAAGGATAAGAATACTTAAATTCAGAGTGTACAAACTTTTTTTTATCATTTAGGCATATTGGATCAAAAATTTAATTTTAAGAGTGTCTGTCTCTATATATAATGCATAAAATATTTTATGGAAGAAGTTCCGCCTGACAAAATTGAGACTTATCTGAACCTAGATTTAAAATCATAAACAAAGGAATGACAGGGAAAAATGCAGTACTGAACATACAAAAGTAATTGGCTGATGCGTTAATAATTGAAAGGAATATACAAAGAACAAACCAAGAGTGACCTGTACATAATTTTCCTATATTGGATTTACAAAAGAGGGTTGTTAAAACCTTCAAATAATTGTTTTGAGAAAAGACACACACACAAATAATGAAAAAAAAACCAAAAATAAATTCTAAGACATTATTTGAAGAGATTAAACATCAAGATTGTTAAAAAGGAAGGAATATAATATGGTTTTATTTGATGAGGGATAAATTAGATATGTTATCATCTCTGATAACCCTCTGCTAAATCTGATAGTTTTACTATCAGGAGTAAATTTTGAAACCTTAAAGCTTTGTTTAGACGAGATATGGGAAGAAGAGATCATTTGTTGTATTTTAAGAGGTGGTGGTAACTTATTTCTTTTTTGTTACATTATTTTTTTTTCTTTTCTGTGCCTTTTTCTTGTTTGTTTTATTATTAAAGCTGTAATTTTAAATATAAAATACTGTAAAGTTCCTAACATTACTCTAAAATAAATGTAGTAAATTCTGTTTGTCAGGGCCAGGTAAGTACTGTGGAAATTTAGATATCAATAAATATTTCGTTGTGTACAACTTAGGCTTGGAATCCTGCTGCGGAGGACCAGTGCTTTGACAGATGTCATAGACTTGGGCAGAAACAGGATGTTATCATCACCAAGGTGAGCTGATCATTATTTTAACAATCTGCACCTCCAAAAATAATGTTTGCTCTTTTGAAAACAGATTATATTTTTTCAGTAATTTCTTGAATTTTTTTACTTGTTACTTTGTAGGATAATACATTATATTATAATTTTTTTCAAGTGCTTTGAGATAAGTAGCTTTATAGTGGTAGTTATTTTTTGTTTGTTTTGCTTTACACCTTTTTAAAAAACTGTTCTAGTTCATCATAAAGAATTCTGTGGAAGAAAATATGCTTAAAATCCAGAACAAGAAAAGAGAACTTGCAGCTGGAGCCTTTGGAACCAAAAAACCTACTGGTGAAACAAAAATGAATGAAATCAGGACTCTGATGGATATGTAATTTAAAATATTGGAACAAATTCAGCTTTAAAAATAAGTTTGTTATATGTTCAGATAACATAATACTGAAAAAATAATCTTTCTAATAATTGCAAGGTATTTTTGCAAACAGCAAATGAGGAATCATATACATACTCATATTGGGCAAATGGTCCAGAGTAGTAACAAACTTTAGTGTAGCAAACTCAAGTCTAAATGTTATGTTTCTATATTAAGAGCAAACCTTCATTACAGTTGAATGTATACAGTATATTGTCAAATTATGTTTTTGATTTTTTTTTTATTTAAACACCTGAGTTGTAAAAAAAATTTTTTTTGCTTGGATTATATCTACGTCTGTTGCAAGTTAACTTGTAACTTCTGAAGTTTTGCACACTGGAGTTTAATGTTATTGTGTATTATGCTTTGTATTGACTATATATTAGCAAGTAAATAGAACAAGGCGTACAATATTGGGGGGAAAATGAAGTGCATATGCCAGCAATGGCGTTCGTGTCAGTTTTGTCCCATGTTTTCCTAAGTTAGAAGCATTTGAAAAGGGATTCAAAATGTGTTCAACTGAACCCAGACTTATGTAAAATATCAGGCCTATAAACTTCCTTTATGTCTGCATTTGGTTTGTGTTTATTGAAAAATAAGAAATCATTTGAACTATTTTTCTGCTATCAATAGTAATGTAAAACTATTGTGTATTTTTAGTTTGATTTCTAGGCAAATAAAAATTTTATCAAGACTTTGGGCTGCTGACTAGATATTATTATAGGTTATTCAGGTTTTTGAAGTTGGTGAGACTTTACTAGAGTTTGGAAAGATTTAATATTTCCTGCATGCCACCATTCATGTGTACAGAATTAATGTTGGAAGACAAGTTTTCTTCTATCTCTGGATTTTTTCCACACATTTGAAAAGTCGGACAATTCAAAATCCCAGCTGGTGTACAAAATTTCCAAGGAGAGAAGGGCTGTCTATGGACATCAATTGCAGTGACTTGACTGAATGGGCACCATCTCATTTAACTCATTATCCCTGGACCGCCCATTTTCATATACTTCATCATACATACAAGACTACATCAATGTTTCTGTCTCTTAAAAAAAACAATAGTAATACACTATATTCCTTTAACCTTAACATCTGTGCTGGATACTTATTTTTTCCAAAATAGTAAACATTATTAAAAGTGATATTTTTCAAAAATAGTAAACATTAGTAAAAGTGATATTTGAGGTCCGTCTCTTGCCGGACACATTACCCAACTCACTAGAGCAAGGAATGTTGTAGGTGTCATCTGCTAGAGAGATAGATTTGGTGGGACCTAGAAGGGCCTTCTCTGTGATTGCTCCCTCTCTCCAACAGTGTTTCCCAAACTTGGCTATTTTAAGATGCATGGACTTCAACTCCCAGAATTCCCCAACCAGTATGCCTGGTTGAGGAATTCTGGGAGTTGAAGTCCATACATCTTAAAATAGCCAAGTTTGGGAAACCCTGCTCTAGAACATCATTCCCCCACACATTAGACTGTTTCCCACTCTAACACTCTTGGAAAACGCTGAAGACATGGTTCTGTCAGTGGACCTGGGGAACCTAGAACCTAGATGGAGCCCATTAAGTTTGTATGAATGTGTGTTGTCGGGTGTTATTTTACTAATTTATTTTTCTTGTTTTTTTCTATGGTTTTTATATCCATGTAAGCCTCCTTGAGTCACCATGTGTGAGCAGGCGGCAATATATATTTTCTAAAATAAAACAAAATTCCATCTTTAGTCTGTCTTTGATTAGGACTAACCATACTCGGCTTTCATTGAGTTGTACTTTTATTTTTTCAAATGCTCCTCCCTTTCAAAAACTTCAGAAAATCCCCAGAATTTATGCTGCCTAACTCTTAGAGGAAGGATATTTTGGCTATTGGAATTTGAAAAATAGAAGATAATTTGGTAATTGGTTATATTATTACTGTAATGAAAATTACCAAATTTCACCTAATTTAGTAACTTGCCTTTGTTTTTGTCCAGCTTATAAGAGGATAGGAAGTACGAGTCTCACATCTAGAGGTTTAGTGCATTTTGCATGTACAATTAATGGAATAATATCAATATTTCCTATTAAAACATTGTCAGCACATTGTGGACAGAAGTATTAGCCATTCAAAAGTATTGTTTAATCTTCTGTCAAGTATTCTAATTACTGAGGATAATAATTTACTAAAGGTGGTTATGGTGCTTTAAAGTTAATGTGGATATGCTTAAATGTAGAAATGTCCAGCCTATAGAATCAGAACTTCTGACACCAGCTTATGACACCATTACCTTCTCTTTATTTCCTTCCCATCTCTAAAGTGTCACCCAGGTGAGCTTTCAATTAATGTACACATTCTTATGGCCTTTAACAAAGCTTCTTTTAAATAGAATACACACATTTCAAAGGAAAGCAGACTTGCAGATCAACTTTAAGAAAATCCTCAGTGATATTGATTTGAAAAGTGTTGATTACACAGATTACAAATGCTAAGTAAGAGACTTCAGAGGGTCACAGATTTTATTGCCACTTGATGGGTTGACAATTTTCAACAATATTTTTATTTTGTACTTTGAGTGTCATTACAGTTCAGATTTACTTGTCTCAGTCATACAGAGAACTGAACAAAAGCATTTGCCATGCTGTAGTTTTGTGCATAGAAATCTGGTCAGAAATGGCTGGAACTGGCAGAAAGGTAACTTTACAGTTACCAAGTTGCATATACGTATGCTAGTATTGTAAGGCTCTTCCATTATAGCTGCCTGAATCTCTAGCCATTATTTTATTGTAGCAAGCAGAACAATATTGGTGTGCATGTGTGAAAAGAAGGAGAGGTAATGCACAGTCTTTTAGGTCTAAGTAGTATGTTTCAGGCCAGTGCAGTGTCCTGTTCTCAGGTCTTTGCAGGCATATTCATGAGTTTTTGAGCAAAAGAAAAATATCTGACTTGGACACATGATTGGCACAAAAATTCATACTTAAAACAGCTTTTGCTCAGTTCTTACCTGCAGTATTACCAAAAGCCTTCAGTTGAGCAGTGGCAATGCTTCTGGAAAACTTAACTGACCCTAGCTGACTTTTCTAGTTGCTACAGCTCTGAAACAAGTCCTTGTATTGCTGATATTTGGGGGAGCAAATACAAGTGCTTTTACTGGAGGTAGGTGTCAAGTTTTTTCTTGATGTTGTCAAAGCTGTCTGCTCCCATGTAGTCAGCCTGACCTTGCTCCCATTTTTCTTTACGTTCTTCTGAGGACATAGCTGGTGGTGATGGTGGCGAATGTGGCATTGCTGCTGCTGAAAGTGACAGGTGGGACACTGCCTCTGTTACCTCTTCCTAAAAAGCAATGAAAGATAAGTGGGAGAAGCACAATTACACACTACAAAAAGGTATAAGCATAAAGTAACCAAGCAGAAGGCAAGAAAACCAATAAGATCCCATGCAAAGCAGCAAGCACCATTTATGCAATTTAAAGAGCTATGAATACATAAATAAAAAGTATCTGAGTCAACGAAATAGCAGACAGGTAGTTATGTTTAAGTTCTTCATACCTCTCTGCAGAAGCCACAAGAGAAAGCCAGTGTATAGACCAAGCCCGACAGCTGCAAATAGTTCATTAGAAAGTTGAAATACAGACAATAGAAAGCATAGCTCAAGAATAGATCAGTATGTTTAGTCACAGGGCTAAGAATATAACTGTTGTGTTTTCTGTATATCAAGCCCAAGTAATCAATGTCACATGTCTACTCTGAATGCATAAGAAGGCAGAACCAAGTTATTTTAACTGGCAAGATATGTAAAAACATCAGTAAAAAACCCACAACTTTTGTAGAGTGTTGTAACACAAATTTTAAGACAGTTGGCACAATACCACCCTTCCATTCACCCTCAATTTATCAGAGACAGCAGTTCATAATAGAGAGCAGATGTGCCCCTGCAGGCATCTCTCCATGGTCTGTTTACTGACTGCAATTTACTAGAAATTTTCTCTTAAGACAAATAACTAGATGCCAAGCATACTGTAGGATATGAAATCTTGAGAGTCCTAGGTACATATTCCAATCTGAATCAACATTTAATGAGAATTAATAGAACTGTGTCATTTAAAGTTACTTTTAAAATGCAAGAGTTTTAAATGGTGCCTGCTGGAATTTTAACAGTGCTCTAGGATATGCCTAATCTCTGAAGAAATGGAGAGGAATCATGAATGCTTCAAGGAAATTCTTGAAATCAGCTACATAGATTTACAAAGTATGCAAATCCATTGTAAAGAACCGGCATTAATATCAAACACTTTCAGATTCCTTATAGACTTCTTCAAAGTTCTGTTGGGTGAAAGTAAGTATACAAACATTCTATCTGGGGTAGATAGAATGATAGGAAAGATGGTAGTGGGGAGTGCAGAATACCACTAGTTTTGATGTGCCTGAACTTGCACAAAACATTTGCCTCTATTTTAATGTATATACTTCCTGTCCTGAAGTGCCTTAAAAATTCATTTGGCATTCTTTTCTTCATATTCTAGCACTGAAATGTGGCATATGCTACATATGTTTTGGAAGATACAATCTTATATAGATGATCAGGATGGGAAAAATATTTTTCTGTCTGCATTATTTTTTTTGCTTGGTAACATTTCCTATGAGCTTTGGAAAAAATAGTAGATTTTAGGGGCATGTTGGCAGCATTTCAAAGAAGTCATTGCCAACTATAATTAGGATGATAGGGAAGCATGATTTGACTAAAGTGGAGAGATTCGGGAGATAAGGGGTTGTAAATTTATGAGATTTCTTTTCCCTTGAACATTGACTTCTGGAATCTATAACCTCCATTCCTGCTCATACTTTCTGTTGTAGGATAAATACTTCTCATGTTCCTATTCTCCAAATACCTATTTTAACAATCTGGTTAGTAAAGCCATAAATGCAGGCCTGTCCATGTTTGTTTTGGCTACCCCATAACAACAGTCTAGAACTTCAACTATTATTTGGTCTTCTAATAAGAAGCAGATCAATGTGCTGCATTTATGAGGAGCAGACAAAATGTTGCAATACTTATGACTAGTCAGCTCACTAGTTAATGCACAGTTGCAAGCTGTTTTTGTAGCAAACATGCTAGCTTCAAACCAACTCAATTCCAAGCCAAAAAAGAAATCTTTTCTACATCCCACATTAAAGTAGAGAATATCCATTTATGAGACATACCGCCTTTACACCAGTAGCTGTATCTTTGATTACACCATGCTGCTGTAATAATGGTAAGATATTTGTGACAAAAGTGTCCCACCACATATTGAGGAACTCTGGATGAATCATTGTGGGATCTTGAGCATCTTCTTTGACACTTTTTGCTTTGGAGTCATACGTATAATTCCATGGTTTCACTCTCCCTAGAAAGTGCACAACTTTAGCATTCATCCCAAACCTGTCAAAAGAAGAGGTCATCTTTATGTGTGGGTAAAGTCATAGCACCTTAACATAGGAGTGGATATCCATTATATATAGCTTGAAAGAATAATTGCTTAATAACTGTTTAAAATTAAATACAATTAAGTTCAATATTTTGTATGGATCTGAATTCTTGTTTCAGAAAAACATCTTTATTGGCTTTACCATAGCCAGATCTAGTGGTGATGCACAAGACTGAAGTGAAATAATCAAAATCAGTGCCATATGGTTACATCAATTTGCATAATTAATTCAATTTGTTTCTTGTCAATGAACAGCAAGAAACTATAAACTGAAGATCACTGAAGTTCATCCCTGAGAAGTGATCAGAAATTCCACCCTGGGTATCAGTAGCTTGATATTTTGAATTACTACTGATATATATATATATATAGTTTATAGTTTTTTTTTATATATATATATATATATATATATATAGGTCTTTGGTTATTCGGGTCTTCTCCCACGTAAAATTGGAAGTGTTATATATATATAACTTTTTTTACAACCAAATGCCTACCAACTATCTACCAGATATTGCCCTTTCCTCATTTATTTGTATTATAGAAAATTTGGAAATACTAGCATATCAACAAGTCTTAATAAAGTATCTAAGTGCATAATCCTGAATTCCTTTAATAATTTGATAGACAGCATAATAGAACAAGGAGTGTTTGAAATTGAACATGAACGGAAACCAGTTCTACAAGATGTCTTAAATATTGTATGTGAAAAACAAGTTGATTTGGTGTGTTATTTAATAAAATTAATTATTCTAAGCATTGTTTATTTTGCTTTTCTCCATCTTTTTTTCCTTAGTAAAATGTCCCCCTAAATAAGCTATTTTAATCTCTTTGGTATTGTATGAAAATATTTTGTTTTAAATTTTGAGTTCATACCTATTTCTGTTAAATACATTCTCCATATTTAAAAAGCATTCAATGTGACCATAACAAAATTTAAGCTCATTCCAGGAGCTGTTGCATTTGGCACAGTTGATTACCCTGCTGTAATGGCATGCTAGTATCAGGCATGGCCAGGCTTAAAATTTGGGTAGGACTGAGAAGGAATCTGGTCAGATTTTCATTTTTTAAAACTATGATATACCCATTTATGAGCTTATATTTTATTTGTACTTTGTTCCCTACTTCAAAGAGGAAGAAACTCCTGCTATAACATTTCAGCAATCCCAGCCAGAATGCCGCAAGAGCTACAAGAATGGAACTGGAGATCTCCATGTAGCGCGAACCTGAATGTAGGATTCTTTGTAGTATACTTCATGTTGTAAGAGGAGCTGCTTGCAATCACAATTACATCACAATTCCATTCACTAAGCCAGACACTCTTTCCACCAGCCACTGAGTACAATGTATTCATTCCAGTTTGCATGAAGATCCCAAAATAAGGGCACTAATTTTAACCTAACAGCATCTCATGACACTCGGATCATAAGACACAGTTAGTTAAACCTTAATCAATGAAAACATTGCTTATATCAGCTGCTCTATTAAATTCGTCATCATTCAACGTTGCCTAGAGACTTGTTCCTACAACTGCACACTTGCTTCTGGATCTTCCAAGTGGCAGAATTTAAAGAGATTTGGCTTTCCCTGAGATGTAAGATAACCCAATGCGAGCAATTAACAATTTAATACTGAGTACTGAAGTACTCAGTAACCTGAGTACTTCAGAAATGAACATACTACCAAGGTAGGTTATACCAGGGAAAAAAGTAAGGCGTTGCCATAATCTCAATTTTGTGGCACCACCGTGAGATTGTGCCATTGAAATCCAAAGATTAAAGTATTTTTTAAAAGTTTCAGCTAGAACATGGGACAAAAATAGGACTGATAAAGCATTTGACCTTTAGTCTTAAGGACCCCTTTACATAAGTGAAATGAATAACAGAAGCAAACTTCTCTCCTTAAATAGACATATGCACTGTGGGTTTCCTAACCTTATAAAATTATATATCTATAACTATATATAACCCTCTTAGGTACCTCAGGAACTGAGTTTTTTTTCATTTTTTAAAATAAATTATGCTTTCATAGTTCAGGTATACTGAGTTCTTCTCCATAATGGCCAATTTTACCAGAACCCTGCTGGGCTTCCAGTCTTCACCATCAACTCTTCAGGCAAAAGAAGGTGGGGAATTCTACGCAAGCCTCCCTAAAGATCTACTCTTCCAGGACATCTTATACATCAGGATACCTGAAATTCACTAAATCTTTTTCAGCACTCTGAAGTACCACTTGCAGGTCTTTATGTCCTTTGTACTTTTGAAAGGTATTATTGCTTTCAGTCAGTTTTATTCTTTGTCTTTTTAGGGCAGATCCTTAGCACCTTTTTAGGGCAGATCCTTAGCAGTAATTTTTCACAATCTCAGTTGGTACTTCTTGAACAACTCACAAAAATATAAAGAGTGAAGTAACCTTTCCGCTACAATATTCTCTTCTAACACTGTCTTTTAATTGTGCCTTTGGCTGCTCACATAACAGATAGATTAAATGTCACTATCTCATCTACAGAACGACTCTTTCTTCCAGGATGCTACTGTGAGACAATTCCATTTTTTTATTTCAGCCTGGCATGCCTTCTTCATTTTCTTCTGTTACATAAACATTTGCTGAGGTCAATGTTCTAAAGTCAGTCTTGATCTTGTATTTGTTGAAGACATCTTGCCTACATTCTCCCAGCTTTTAGAGCTGTAGAAAACATAGGTTCATTCTTTACATGAACATCATACTTTTGTCTTTTACAATATAAGATAGTTTTGCTTAGATAAAGCTATTTCTTGTCTTCCAATGACCTTTTAGGTGTGGTCTCACCTTTCAGCCTTTCATAATAGTCAGATTGAGCTTTGTAATTTATGTATTTATTCAATTTCTATAGCCACCCTTCTCAGACAAGTGACTCTGGGCAGCAAAAAAATTTATTAGCCAACTTATTGGCTAAACAGGCATGTTTTCTTCTGATCTACACTTACTGTACAAGCACTCTTCTTCTGGGACTCTGGTTTACTGAAGTTGTGCTAGACAACCACAGACTCAATCCTTTATCTTTTCACAGCATTACAGAAACTTACAACTGTTGGAAACACCATTCATAGATAACCACTCAAAGAACTGTAGTGAATAGTTCTTTTAAATTTTGCTGGCTTATTCTGCTGAGATCAAAGAAAGGAGTGATAACATTAGAGTGATTCTAATCATCTAATTCAGATTATTCATTCTGAAGAAGAAAAAAAACTAAGGTTGGATACAGATGTGCATTACCTATTATAGGACATAAACATGTCAATTGTTTTATTCTCATTTTAGCTGTGGTGGTCCTTGCCTTGCCATCAAGAGCAAGTAGCATAATTCCTCACACTATTTGAGTCTGGAAGCAGTAGTGACACAATGAATATCAAATCATGCATATTTAATAGTTCAGCCTACTCTGTCTGTGTGCATAATCATCTACTTACGCTTTAAATGCTGGGAGGTAGGAATAAATAGAAATGCTGCTTAAGTTATAAATAAATGGGAGATGCTTGCTAATATCTGTAGTTGCCCAACTGCTGAAGAAAGTGTTCAACAGACCCTGGTCCCCACCTGAGGAAGGGAAAGAGGGAGGGAGGGCGAGAGAGGGGTGGGGGGGAGAGAAGGGTGAGTCAAAGAAAAAGCAATGTTTTAAAATGTCTTTAAAAATCAGTTTCAAATATTCTTGACATACTATACATAAAATGAATCCAGAAAATCAGAAATGTGTACGTCTCATCTGCAGTATTAGTTTGGTAGTTTTGTGGAACAAAATTTAACAAGTTTATTAATACAATTTAAAATTCTGTTTGGTAATGAACAAGACAGCTTTCCAAACATTCATAATTCATTAATTGAAGTGAAGATGGATTATCTAATTATTTCAGAAGTATGAATCTGTATTCATGCCAAATAAAGTTTTTGCTGATGGAAATCAGTTTTAAAATTGCTTTACAATGTGTATACCTGTTTTCTCAAATAAAAGATATTACTTTTAAAAACCTGCTTAGTTCTAAAAATGGAACCATTAGAAGCTATGAATATGCCCAATAGTGATGTAAATGATTAAAACTGAACCTTTCAGGGGAGTGACTTTTGTCTTTATTGACCACTGCTATTTATCAGTTGTTTTTCTCAATGAAGGACGTGATCATCCATGCACTGACTTCTTCTGCAAGCATCAATGACTCATCATGAATTAATATTTAAGGCTTCCAAGCTCTTGGCATCTTATCCAGAACACTAGCTTCAGGGAGCCCAGATGGGATTGCATATATCAATCTACATTCTTTCAAATTATTTTGTAAGGCGACAGACAATCATTCAGGACAAGGAACCGTTTATGTTGCTTATCTCAGTTTAGCAAACAGAATAGTGAACAATAGAGTGACAACAACATTTTAGAAGCAGCCTAGCTTCTTGGATTGATCTACAAAAATTAAGAGTAGGGACTTTTCACTTAAATACTTTGCAAAGTTATTTATTCAATAAGGATTAAAGACTGCTATTGATACAGATACATCAAAACTTAGTAGACCACGGTAAGTTTTGGTTGGATCTACCAGAGAGTCAAGATCAAATATGATTCACATATGAAATCTAGTACATTTGATTTATATAATTTCTACCTTTAAAATAGAGTTATCTTATTCATTTTACAAGTCAGAGTAAGATTAGGAATATTCTTTCCACAGTCCTAAGCATACAGCTGGAACACATTACAACATTGGGTCTGAGTGCATCTGAAACTCTTTGTAATTTCAAGCTTGGCAATTCTAGTTGTTATACTAATTTAAGATTCAGGGCATATTGAACATATAATAGAAAAGACCCAAACACTTAACACATTTCTAAGGAAATGGCATCTCTGTTTCAATTTCTAACAGAAGAAAGAGTTGTCTGAAATTTGTTCTCTGTATACCATGGTTATTGCCAAAACATACCTCTTGGTAATATTTTTAAGTGAAATTCAATATACTTGCACTCTGGGATAAATGTAAAAATAAACTTAGGGAATAGCCAAGGAAGGTAATATTAAGATAATATAATCAGAGGGAACACAAGACTTCTATTTGTGTTTTGCTTGAGACAGGAGCCATACAATCTTAATTGTTAATGTAAGCCATCTAGTATCTTTGCCAGTTTAACTAGTGCCAATACTCATTAATTAAGTCACATGAAAAAAACCAAGAGTAATTTAGGACTTTTAAATAACAAAAAAGCAGCTCAAAAATACAGTCCTAAATAACTCTTGTTATTTCATAGACTTTGTTTTCCATTTTGCACTCCATGTTAAAAGAGGCACAAATAAATCTACTGAAAAGCAACAAAATTTAGGCAACAAAGCAACAAAGAAGACAGCTTCTTTGGAAATTTGGAAGTTAGTTTCTACCAACTAACACAAGCAACTCCTAAAGTTAGAAAGCAGCAGGTTTAGTTCACATGAATGAAGCTTTAGAATGTGGATACTCATATGGGGGAAGGGAAGGGAAGAATTTTCCAGTGATAAACTATCTGCAGTAATGTAACCTAATTTTCACGCATATTTTAGCAGAGGGAACACAACAGTACAAGTGTGAATAATACCAAAAATATGCCCATTCATTATACATCTATGCAATGTTTTCATCTCCTTTTACAATTCAATATAGTTCCTCTAAAAAGCATCTTCCACATAATTTTCAGCACAAACATACAGACACTTCCCCCAGAAGGGAATTTCACATTAGGAGCAATTATAGCCAAGCAAGTAATAAATAAAGATCCTGTTCTACAGAGATAACAAACCTTTGTCTCATGGACCATTTATGGATCATTTCCAAAATACAGAAAAATACATAGGGTCAGAATCTAAAATAACAGAGTTGGAAAGGACTTGGAAGTCTTCTAGCCCAACCCTTTGCTCAAGTAGGAAAGCCTACTTCACTATTTCAGACAAATGGTTGTCCAATCTCTTCTTAATAAACTCCAGTATCCACAACGTCTGGAGATAACCAGTTCCACTGATTAATTGTGCTGTCAGGAAATTTCTGCTTAGTCCTAGGTTAGGTCTCCTTTTGATTATTGCTTTTTTTCTGCCTTTAGGTGCTTTTGTGGCAGCTCCTCAAATATTTGAAAATTGCTTGTCCTTTTCACCTGATCAGACATACTCAATTGCTACAACTGTTTTTCATATTTTTTAGCCTCCAGTTCCCTAATCATCTTTGTTGTTCTCTGCATTCTTTCTAGAGTCTCAACATCTTTTTTATATCGTGATCAAAATGATGCATTATTCCAAGTGTGGTCTTACTAAGGCATTATAAAGTGAATCATGTGATCTTGATTCTAATCCTCAATGATTCTAACCCTAGGACTCTGTGCCTTTTTGGGCAGCTGCAGCACACTGCTGGCTCATATTTAAGTGATTGTCCACTAGGACACAAAGATCCTGCTTGCAGTTATTATTGAGCCAGGAACCACCTATTCTATATCTGTGCATTTGGTTTTTTCTTGCCTGCATGTGGAACCTTACTTTTTTTAACCATTGAATTTCATTGTTCAAGACTGTTCAGAGCCTTCTGTATCTTGAGCCTATCTTCTGAAATATTGGCTATTCCTGGCAGCTTAGTGTCATCTGCAAATTTGATGAGTTTCCTTTCTATCTGCTCATCAAAATAATTGATGGAGATATTGAAGGGCATAAGATACAGCCTTGGGTTACCCCACTATATACTTCTCTCCATGTAGGTACAGTTCAATTAAGGATTAAATGTTGAATGCAGTTGGTCAGCCAATTACTAATTCATCTATGGTGATGCTGTCTAACCCACATTTTTCTATCTTATCAAGCAATGGATTGTGGTCTACTTTATCAAGTGCTTCCGAAGTCCAAGTAAATTATATCCACAGCATTTCATTGGTCCACTTATTTTGTTACATTGTCAAAAATGCAATAAGATTTGTCTGGCATGATCTGTTTTTGACAAACCTCTAGGTGTTCGCAGATTTGTTGCTTGATTATCTTTTTCAGAATCTTCCCAGGTATTGATGTCAGGCTGATAGGTCTGTAGTTTCCTGGATCCATTATTTTTTCCTTTTTTAAAGAAGGGAACTACATCAGCCTGTCTTTGCACTGAAAAAGGTCTGTTTTTAGATTTTTAAAACCTGCTTTTATTATAGTTATAAATAATTCAGGGTGGCTAACATATCTAATACTCCGTCCCACTCCTATTTTCCTCCCAAGACCACCCTGTGGAGGTGGTTGGGCTGAGAGTGAATGATTGGCCCAAAGTAACTCAGCTGGCCTTCATGCCTAAAACAGGACCAGAACTCAGAGTCTTGGTTTCTAGCCTGGTGCCTTAATCACCAGACCAAACTGGATGTTATTCAATTTTAACTTATATTTTATTATAAATCTTATTATAATTTTTACTATGTTTATGACTTCTTATTCAGAAAAATAGCATTTATTTATTAAATTCATTTGCCACTCTTCTTGCCAACAGGTGACTGCAGGTAGCTTACAACAGAAAAACAGTTTCCTAATTCTCTGCAAAGAGAATCAAGCTAAGTGTCCCTTGAGCCAATATTGTACAAATTGACTTCCTGCAATCTGTACATACTACAGCTCCAAACAACATGGTCAGCGGTGATGGGAGTCATAATAGAAACAATACTACTGTAGCTTTTTTCAAGTTAGGCTCTTGCTTTCTGAATGTAAAAGATTGTGGCCTAATTGTAGAGATGAAAAGCCCAAAAAGCCCAAGGAGAAAATCATTCTCCTTTAGGCAGAGGATTATTGAAACAAATAGAGAAACAGGCCGAAATGTTACAGTACATTCTCACTTTCTATCTGCAATTATTTTCTTCTAGATTCTAGCTGGCCATGCCCTTCTTTTCGGCAGCGGTAGCTGCAAAGGACCAAGTAAAGTATTGTTGCATAAGTGAGTCTTTTCTAGTGAGTCAGGCCAATCTTCTTTGGAATTCAACGGGGGGAGGGGGAGAGAAATTGTCTTTTTAAAATCCACTGCAGCTGAAAGCTTCCCTTTGCAGGGTTGTATTCAAGCAGTAGCTAGAAGCGAAGGGGTTTCTACATGGATGCGGGAACCAGTCTTTTTTTTTTTTAAATTTGATTTATATGCCGCCCTTCTCCGGAGACTCAGGGCGGCTTACAATGCCCTGTATTACAAGTCTTAATGAGTTAAATGGCCTCTTCAAACTCTGATGCTAGGAATGTTCTCATTAGGTCTTCCTTTAAGAAAGATCAATAGCAGTGTGCATTGATATTGTTGCCAAATGGATGTTGTGGTTCATTATGCATTTATCTAACCATGTTATTGTGGTTTGAAAAATAACACTGGTCTGTTATTTTTCTAGAAGAAGCAGAACACACTGCCCTATTCTATATGCCATTAGGTCTGTTGAAAGACAATCTATTTGCAGTTCTTATTGTAATCATATACACACAGCTGATTTATTGACAGATTACCCACTTCCTTTTTACTCCACTTTTAGGAAATCTTATTAATGTTTCATACATTCAGGTCCATTGAAATAAAACCCCATCTACTGAAAGCTTCAGAAGTACTCCGTTCTACAAGCATTACACATTTGTTGCAGGTTTGTTTTGAATAATCTGATTTAACAGAAACCCAGCCTTTAAATAAAAGATTTCCCCATCATCCAGATAAAATGAGATACGCACCATCAAAGCTGCCTTTCTCTGTGGCAAGTTGTAACAGCTGATTGAATGTTTCAATGGAAGGCCTATAGACAAAAACTCCTGAATTGAAACAGTCAGGCCAACCTGGATCTGGGGCTGCAGAAAGTTCTTCTCTTTCAAAAAGTTCATCGATGTTTGACAAGACCTAATAGGGAAGAAATGGTTCGCAGGTACAAGTGAATTATTCACCAGCAAAAGGAATGGTAATTTCCTCTGAGATACATTGTTATGACATTATTTAGATCTACTAATGTTGATAAGTTTTTTTTTCTAGAAACAAAATTAATTGAATGCATTTCAATTCAAAATCCATGCTGCATTTTCCTTCCCCATTTTAAAGTTGTTCGGAAGAATCCTGTCTATATGACAAAGATAAGACTAGGACTAGGCATTCTAGATAATGGATATATTTCTATATCTAGCACTACCCCAGAATTCTGGTGCAGTCTGACTTTTTCCTTAAATGACTACCTATTTATCAACAGGGCAATTAGATGCATAGAAAAATAGATGCTTTTAATGCACTGGATGAAGCCGTAATTTGCTGTAGCAAAGTATCCAGTTTCTTACATATCTCTATTTATTTAGTGTATGACATAGAGTAAATGGATAATAGTAGTAAAATATATATATAAAAGGAACACATAATACTATGGTACATATACAATGGAAATATGTAGTCAATTTTGTAAGGTATGAGGAATTGTAAGTTTTATATAAGCTATAGGTTATTCTTTAAAATACTTTGGTTCATGAGAATGGAATAAATATTCTTTATATTAATACTACATATGTCTGAAGTGGTGCAAATCAAAAGCATTTCATTGACTCACTGTGTGCCATATAAATTACTATTTCCTAACATGAACTGAAAACAAACACAACTAAAAGGGATCATCAGCAGCAAGAAAGACATACCATTGTATCTGCATCCATAAACACACACTTTGAATACTGTGTTAGTTCCCAGCAGTGGAGTTTTGTCAAAGTAACACCAAGTTCAGGCCTTTTCAATAGTGCAAGATGGGCTGAATCACCACTGTCCAAAACATCCACCAGCTTCACTTCATCAAAGACCTTTTCTAAGACTGTCCTATTGAAAGGAATGGTCATGGTTTACATCAATACTCAATGCCACTCACGCTCATCCATTAACTGTCTACACTATCCCTAGAACCTGTGAGAAAGCAGACTCCTATATCATATTTCTGCAAGAGCCTATAGGAATTTCCTTAAAATAGACTCTCCTGACAGCAACTGTATATTTCAAACTTAAAGTGTACAGGAATGCAGACTTGAGATAATGCACTTGAAAGGTGGTGGATTAGTAGTACTGACAGGCTCTCAGAGCTACACAAACAGATGGGTCAAAAAGACCTACACTCTTGATAAGTCAACTGGCTATTTTAAACTAAAGAATTATGAAGCTTTTAGCATTTATGAAATGATTTCTGGGCAGTAGCCAAGAATATACTAAGGTTGCAGAACATACCTAGAAAAAACTGATGTGGTTTGAAAATTCTCAAAATTATTAACAATAACCAATCATTGTTATTATCATTGATAATGATTTAGCATTTCCAAAAATAGAAAAATAGAGATGCAATCACAGAGCAGGAGCAGGAACAGGAAATAGTGGTGGCGGCTCTAAATTCTACCAACAAAATTTATCTTATTTTGAAATTTCTAGTTAGCTGAGTTTTCACTGAAACAAGAATAATAGCTTTTTTGAAGTTTTAAATCTAAAATATTGAATTATTAAATCACCTCTTAAAATGTAGGGGTCTAAAAAGCTCTAACAATGTAATAGTATGATGTACAGAGATCTTTTTTATACTACCGCTCTCTTCTCTGTTACTCAATACAAAAGCAACAGTCCTGGGCAACAGGCAATACTTCCTCTCTACCAGTTTTACCCTAGATTCTAGGATTCATGTTTGTGCAAGAAGAATCTAGAAGACTTACTGTCACTTCCCTACAGATAACTGTTTCCTTTCTAGCTAATAGATGACTTTTGTCCAACCGCCCATGAAACTTATGCTGAAGATGCTTAATTATTAAAATTCTGGCATAATTTTTGTCTTTAAAGATTCTCCTGGAACTGAAGGTATTTCTACCAAAGATATTTATTTAGACTGGGAGAGAAGAGTAAGTTCTTTGTAAAGTTCCATTTATGTAAAACTTTAAACAAATTTAAACACCCTGCCCTCCATCTTGCATAACATTTGATACAATTGCTAAAGATTTAGCACAGGAAGCCACAAATCTCACTATGTAAATATTTGAGTAAGCTTGAAGATGTAGTGAAGTTTCTCATATCCTTAGCAAGACATTTAGAATTCAGGCTACAAATTAAATTAGCCTTAAATTAGGAAATAACTATAACTATATAACTATAACTAATTAAATCTGCTAACAAAAGAACACTACCTTAGTTGTCCATAAATAGACTTGTCTTTCTTGTTTACACTAAGAGTAAGCAGTATAATGTCTCATCTTTATAAACATCCCCAGTTGCTAAAATCTTGGTCCTGCATTATTTTCAACTTCCATTCTTATGAAGCAAAAATCTTTCAACTACATTCAGGGAAGATGTTAAAAGGCAACTCCAATGTCAGCATATGGATTGTTTGCATAGAATCAACTTGTCTGCTCTTCCTCCCGCACAATACCCCTTTCTCTTTAATCCAGTGTCTAGACAACCTAAAGGCAAATGGCCTTCAATGGCAATTTCCAATGAATGTAGAAATTAAGAGCCAAAAGAAAAAAAGCTGTAAATATACCCATTAATTCTCTACTTAAGGATGGTTAGAAAGAAATAATAGTTCTGGGCAGGTTCGGGTTTATTACTTTACAAATAAAATTTCAATGGGAACTATAAGACACTGCTTGTTCCAGTTAAGTGAAAAAGAAAATATTACTTCCGCTATGAAATAACTATTCACATTATTTCTACATCTGATTTATCTTAACAAAAGATGGTCTAGCTATGCTCTGAAGGGAAAATTCACCCAGCTGCATCTATTTTTAACTAAGCTTCCACTTGACCTTCGGATGCACGTTTTCACTGGGGCTGGATGGCCACAGTGCATCAGGCAACTCACCTCATTGCATCAGATACATGGGGAGTGATCAATACTGTCAACTTCCTTGTTGTTCTGTAATTCCGTAGCGATGATCCAAGGACGAGTGCTCCTTTTACATAGGAATCATTTGTGGCTAGTGTCACAAAAGACTGGTCTTAAGGAAAAGAGACACACATGTCATTAATATGGAAAAGACCAGTCATTGCCCATAGTGTATTCTTAGGCACCCATCACCTAACACTCTGTTTTATTCTGGCAGTAGTTCCAGAAAGACAGAATTTAAATTTTTAGGCTAAAAAGAATTATTGTACTTATACAAGTAGTCCTTGACTTACAATCACAACTGGGACTGGAATTTCCATAAGGGGTTGCTGTCCTAAGTTGAATCAGACAATTTTATGATAATTTTTACAGTAGTCAAATAAATCACTTTGGACATTAAGTGAATCACGTGGCTGTTAAGCAAATAATGCAGCCATTAAGTGAATCCAGCCCCCCACTGACAAAAAAGGTTGCAATTTGCGATCACATGCTGCAACCAGTCATAAACATGAACTAGTTGCCAAGTGCCTGAATTGCAGTCACATGATTGCAGGGGTGGTGCTATAGTCCTAAATCTGTGTACAAGTTGTAAGTTACTTTTTCTGAGACCATCTTCGAATGCTTGTCAGTCATAAGTCGAGGACTTCAGTATCTATATATCCAAACATCAATCAAATGATTGCAAGATGGGTGGCTATATAAATATTACAAATAAATAAAACATTTTTTGAGATCATAAAATAAAATATTGCCTTTCTACGGGCTTCCAAGAAGCTTTTGGCTGATCAGTTTAGGAACATACTAGATCAGAGAAGATGAAGGTAACCTGACATTTTGCCACTCTCTTTTGGCTTTGGCAATACATCTGGAGCTGATAATTACTAGATCAAATAAAATATTATGTGTTTTTTTTATGTTTTTGAATTTCTATACCGCCCTTCTCCCTGAGGACTCAGGGCGGTGTACAGCCAGAATTAAAAAACATGCAGTACAAATATTAAAAAACAATTAAAAGATATATAAATTTGGCCCAATTAAAACTCACTGTTAATAAACATTCATTCATCTGCAATGTTTAATTGATATTAATTTTTGTAGGTCCCATCTATTAGAGAAGTACAACTAGTGTGACCACGAAAAACAGTCTTCTTTATAGAATGTTATTACCTCAAAGATAATAAGCCCCCGTGATACTTTTCTGAAAGGCCTTGAAGACATGGTTCTGTCAGCGGACCTGGGGACCCCTGGTTGGTGGAGAGCCAATCAAGTGGCTGGTTTGATTGCTGCCATGCGAAGTGGAGTGGGATGGGTACTGTACTGTATTATGAATTTTTAATTTTGTAAACCGGCCAAAGTCCTTGGTTTATATAAAATATGTTAATTAAATATATAATTAAAAAAATAAAATACTCATGCATATCGTGATGCAATTGATATCTACAATTACCCAACCAATAATGCTAGAACATGCATGTTGAAAAGTTCTTCCTGCAGGATAGGACCAAATACCATCCACTGGTAGTAATTTAATCCTAACATTTAATTTTCTTTCCTGTCCTACCTGTGGCAATAGATTAATGTAGGAGTAAACAATAAAATATATAATCCTGAACAGAAAACATTCAAAGGGACATGCTGTCCATACGTTATTGGATACCATGTTCCTTTTTGTTGTTGTTGTTGCAGGGTTATACTTTTGTGGAGATGAAACTATCAAACTTCATATCATCTGGAAATAGGAAACTTCTGTGTCAGTTAAATTATTAGGAAATGTGTTTAGCAATTCAAATTTTGCAAGATACACTGGCTGTCACAAGTTTAAATTATACATACCAAATGGATTTCTAATTAAATGCATTGTTCGCTACTTTTGCATGGGATTCAACTTAGTGGGTTGTAGTAGAAATGGCTCAGAACTTCCCACCCATGTAGTTCTAAAATAAAGTTTCTACAAATTCATTAATTTCTCTCCATGAAATACATTATCTAAACATTTTTCAGGCAGGTTAGAGCAGACCAGCCTAGTTTACCTTATGCCCTCCTTAGGCAATGACATGTTTATACGTATCCAATTTTGCAACGGAATATCAAAATGGGTTCTTTGATCATCTGTGTCCTGAGATGTCTATCACAAGCAGGCTGATAAACTCAACAGTGTATTTTAATTCCTTATGCATAAAATCATTACTTAAATATATTTATACAACTACTACGCCTGTCCAATTGTAGTGGTTGCATGCCCAGGAATGGGTTTGGAGTGTACATATTTTTTTTTCCATTGTAAGCTTCCATAATCAATTGCTCTGTTGGCTGAAAAGAAAATATTTGAAGATGATGCAACGGTGGTAAGGGAAAAAAGACTTTTTACATGTCTCAGTAATATATCCTTATTGTATCAGCTAATCTGTTTGAGACAAAGAATCTAAAATAGCTTAGCTATTTTACTTAGCTATCTACCCAGTGGTGAAATCCAATTTTTTTTACTACCAGTTCTGTGGGCATGGCTTGGTGGGCATGGCTTGATAGGCATGGCAGTGGAAGGATACTGCAAAATCTCCATTCCCAGCCCACTCTAGGGGAAGAATATTGCAAAATCTCCATTCCAACCCTACTCTGGGCCAGCCAGAGGTGGTATTTGCCAGTTCTCCGAACTATTCAAAATTTCTGCTACCACTACCAGTTCTCTGAATTACTCAAAATTTCCACTACCGGTTCTCCAGAATCTGTCAGAACCAGATTTCACTCCTGCATCTACCTGGTAAGCAAGTCATATTACATCTGGAAATTATTATTTAGAGCAATTGTAGGCAGCCTAACCTGGAGATATTTCTGCTCTATCAGTAGATAGCAACTGGAATATAGATGAGGCTCAAACCAGCTGATTCAGTGTTATCATTAGTTGCATGCAAAAGTCTTCTCCTTCAATCTGAAAACCTAGCTAGAATTTGTGTTTAAATTAGAGTCTAGCTAATGTTCTTTCTAACTGTTGAAAGTTAAAGTGTGATAAACTGGCACTTGTAGCCTGTAATTATCATTTAGGAAGGAATGAACAGCCAGTCTGGTACAATGATTAAGGTGTTGGCCTAGAAACCAGGAAGCTCTGAGTTCTACTCTTACCTTAGGCATGAAAGCTGGCTGTGTAACTTTGGGCCAATCACTCTCTCTCAACGCAACTTACCTTAATATATTGTTGTGGGGAAAATACGAAGAAGAAATATTAGATATGTTTGCTGCCTTGTGTTATTTATAAATGAATAAAGGTGAGATAAAACTCAAATAAATACATGTTATTTGCTCCTTACTAAAGAAAGGTAAACTGAATATTAATTCCAAATTGGTAATGTTTAGTATTCAATGGTTTTTTTTTTTAATTATTCAAGGTCAATGTTACTCAAAAACTTCATGCAATTGTGTAAATGTTTATAAAATGATTTTGTAGAATCAATCAATCTTTTATTTTGGTCAAGGACCAATATAAAAACAAGAACAAAAGCAAAAGCAGAAACAATCTAACGACGTTACTATATAGTAAATATTGATTTTTATTAATATCAATGACAATTTTATAAACATAAGATATAAAGATGATTGTACTAATATCATGTTTTATCTAAATCAGTATTACTCTACAGGTTGAGTATGGATTATGGATTATATATGATTATGTTGAAAGAACAAACTAATACAACAATGCAATACAGCTCAGATCACTAATATGTTTTTGAAGATAATTTAACAAAATGCACATTTTATGAAATTTGCTGGCATAAATTAAGTGTTCAATTGCTTCTATGGATTTATCAGCATACACAAATTCACAACAGGAAATAGTGAGAAAATCTGATGTAATCCAGCATCTAGCAAGCTCTTATATTTCTGAATATATATATATACTAAACTATCAGACCATTTAATATTGAGGATTATTGTGTACATAATTACTGTACACATAATCCAAAATATTTTTCCAACTTAATGTTTCTAAAGCTGCTTTATTCCTAAGGGATTTTTTTATCCCAAAGGTCATTCATAAAATCAGTTTCTTCTTTGAGAAGATGTGGGTTAAGGCAAACTTATCAATATAAACTTAAGAATATTACTCAAAAGTGTTGATTACTTACATCACTTTATTGTAACACCACAATAACAGGTTTTAAGTTCAATTTCCATTTATTGCTATAATTCTACACAGATTTTGGAAAAATCAAGAGAAAACATAATTTAGTTGAAACTCAAGGCTATCTTAACATTGACCATTACAGTCACTTGTGCCTTTTACCGTCAGGCCCAAGCCCGAAGATGACACAGTGAAATCCAAGCTAGTCCAATACTTTATTTGCTCACATCTAATAGACAACATCACACCAGGCTAAAGCTACAATCGTCTAACATAATAGATATATCCTAAGAGATTCTAGAGTGTGGCTTTTAATTTTTTCCTCCCCAAACCTCCTGGACTGCTCAGACTCTTATTTTGGGCTTCTCATTGGAATGTCCTATCTCCTCCATGGGAAACTGCAGTGCTCCTGCTGAGATCCCTCTCCCCTCCCCAATTCCTTTTCTAGTTGCACCTTCCATCACACTAACCTCCAGAGAGGTTAGGCTATATTGTACAATAGCCATGCACAATGTCTCAAGACACCCTTTTTTCAGCAGGTGGAAGAACTTGGCTGACCTTGTCTGGAAAGCAGGGTCACACTTGATTAGTATTTGGATGGAAGACCACTGGGTAATTTTATGCCTCTAGGTTGAACCAGGGTACCAAAACACAACATGTGACAAAGCAATGTCAAGTTTACTGTAGTAGGAAAACTACATGGACATGTCCATTAAATCATCAGAAGCTCAAGGTAATTTTTTTTAATAAAGCACCCTTACAATTATGCTTCAATTTAGAAAATGAAGAAGTGCTTCAAAAATATTTAATCCCTGTCACCTGGAGTTAAATGGATTGGGCACCAATAATGAAAAGACCATTGCATTTTTTTTTTTTTTACAAAGTCTGCTTCCCAAAGCATACAGTACAAGATCATCTAGACTATATCCTGACACAGCACAAGGCAGCACACATGCCTGAAACCAAGTCATATAATTTATGCATAGAAGCATTCCAGAGTTGAATTGGTTTATGGCCAGGGGAAGTTAGGGTTGATATTAAGAATGGATGAATGCAGAAGGCAAGCCCTTATTCATGCGAATAAAGTAAAAAAAAAATGCCCAGGCCTTCGCTTAGTGAATGCTTTATGATAGTGATTAGATAGGTAAAAATCTTAACAGCTTGCATTGGTCAATAGGCTAAAATCTCAAGGTAGAGCTACCTGTGGCAGAACAAAGGTACATATAAACATTTAGCACATTAATGTGAGATATTACAGGCATACCTATCCAAGATTTTCAATTGTTTTCCAAGATAGCAGAGCCAGTAAAGGCTAAGCTTTTACAGAACAATCACAAGAAAGGCTCACATTTGGTGGAAAGAAACCCCAGTACCCACAGTAACTATTCCTCAAATCTTTGGGAATATGTTATCATCTACATAACCTGCGTAGCTGGCATTGTGGGTTGGAAGAAAGTTCTTCTGACTGAATAGTTAATTTAAAACAGTAGATTCCTACTTCCCATTCAGTTCTTTGGGCTCCTCAGCAACCCACTTGTGCACCAACTTGAAAGCGAACAAGCCACAGGCTTAAATGTGTTATTATTAATAATTCTCCACGGTTCTGTGGTGAGGTTCCCAACATGTTTTGACCACAGCCATTCTTCACATTTTGAAAACACGTTCAGGCTCCAGGCTTCCTCAAATTGGTATTGTACTAGATTGAGATAGTGATTGTGTTAAACTGTTAAAAGTATCAAATTTAAAAATTAATATTCCGGTTACTTCCCCATGGAATTGACAGACTGTTCCTTATTACTTCTACTTACCATTGCCATCTTTGGGGAGCAGGTGGATAGCCACCAAACTTATTTCTTGACAAAGTTTATGCAGCCGATTGATAGCCCACAGCTCTGCTTGCAACACTTCCTTTTGCTTTATAATTAACCTCTGGCCACATCGGCGTGGTGGAGCGTCACACCATTGGTCCCCAGGACCACTAGGCTATGAGGCTACAAACAGTGGTTGCAGTATCTGCAGCCCAGATAAGAACACACGAACCGCTAACTGGAAAATTCTATCATAGAGCAGATTGATACGTTTCAAACATCTAATCTCGGTTACATGGTGTCTCTTCTACCCAATTAGGTATCTATCTATCTATCTATCTATCTATCTATCTATCTATCATCAATCAATCAATCTATCTATCTTATCTATCTATCTATCTACCTATCTATCTACCTATCATCAATCAATCAATCTATCATCTATCTATCATCTATCAATCTATCTATCTATCTATCTATCTATCTATCTATCTATCATCTATCTATCTATCTATCTATCTATCTATCTATCTATCTATCTATCTATCTATCTAATCAGCCCAAAGATAAGAGAGAGAAAAGCTGACCCATCATCGACCAAGCTCACAGAACGGGTCTATCTGTGCCCTACGGATTCGCCCCAGCGGTACAAACAAGGCTGCCGCTTTAAGAGGAGAAGATACGCGCATGATGCGCGCAGCAATGCACAAATTACAAGAGTTTTTCTTTTCCCATTTGGGCACCGGTGCCCGTCACCCGCACGTGCCCAGACCTTGCTCCGAAGATCCTCAAAAGGGAGGCAGCGTACGCTGACTTGCACTCCTTGCACGCTACTCCCTTGTGGTGGTGGGGGGGGGGGGGGGGGACGGGGGACGGACAGGGCTCACGCGCCAGCCTAAAAATAGGAGCCGCCATGCGTAAAACAGGGCAGCCCGAGGTCTCCCGAGGACGAGCGCTCCCGCCAGCCGCCTGGCCCAAGCGAGCGCCGCTTTAGTTTTCCTTTCCTTCGCCGGACCAGCAGCCGCCGGGAACGAGGAAGTGCCGCAGCTGCTCCGGCTTGTCAGTCACTTGTGGCTAGATTAGAAGGTAACGCCGGATCCGCGGCGACTGGGCGGAGAAAACCAAACCCCGGAGTGGGAACTCGGGCGGATGTAGGACCCGCTCGCTCTCCGCAACTGACGACGAAGCCGTCGCGAAAAGGACGCGCCGCCAGCCTCCTTCCGGAGGGGGAAAACAGAAAGCGTCATTCCGCCTTACCTGCCATGGTGGTGCCGCTCTCAGTTCTGCAACCCAACTCTCCAGCACCCCCTTCCCTCCGACACTCGCTCCCTTTCCGGAGCTCCACCTCTTTATATAGGGCAGGCGGAGCCCAGGGGAAGGGGCGGAGTCTCCAGAAGGAGCCGAAAAGGATATGCCTCCGGGGTGGGGGAGGGGGGGTGGACGAGGGGGCCTGTTGCCTGCGGTGTAACTTCGGAAGGCCGCGGTCTAGCGAGAGCCTTCGGTGGAAGAAGAGACGGTGGCTTGCTTGCTAGCTGAAACGGAAAGGGAAAGCGAAGGCTGCCTCCTAAGGTCATTTTAGGCTGGCAGGGAAAGATCCGAAATCCCTGGAGAAGGGATGCGCTCCAGGAACTTGCCCGGTTGAATGGTACCCGCTATAAAGAGCATTGTAGCTGCGTAGGCTGAGCTGAAGAAGCTTCTTGCATGAGAAGCGAAACGTCTTCAAGGAAAAAAAAAAACCCAAAGAAAGTCCAGTTGAAAAAAACCCAGTTTGTCTCCCTGAATGACCAAGAATCTTAATAGGCGGCACAGTAGAGTAGCTGCTCTGAAAAACTCTGCCCAGTGAAAGCAAGTCTGTGAAAGCAAGACAGGTCCAGAGGTGGGTTTCAGCAGGTTCTGACCAGTTCTGGAGAACCGGTAGCGGAAATTCTGACTGGCCCTGCCCCCATCTATTCTCTGCCTCCCAAGTCCCAGTTGATTGGGAGGAAATGGGGATTTTGCAGTAACCTTCCCCTGGAGTAGGGAGGGAATGGAGATTTTACAGTATCCTTCCCCTGCCACGCCCACCAAGCCATACCCACAGAACTGGTAGTAAAAAATTTTGAACCCCACCACTGGACAGGTCCTCCTGTAAAGTGTTGTGGACTGACACAATTTTCTCTAATCTGGGACCACCTAGATGTGTTTGACTACAGCTCCCATGATTCCCAGTTACTAAGTAAATTGGGAGTTGTCCAACAGCCACGGAGGATATTTGTTTGGGGAGGATTCTACTGTTGCAATTTGCTTAAAAAAAGATATGGTGAATCTTTTCTAGAAAGATACTAGAAAAGAGTCACAGTCTTCAGTTTATATGTTGTATTAAACCACCAAGTAGTTTGTCTGAGTTTAGTTGTGTGAACTCCATACCATAATTTAATCTGTGTGAACTCCTGGTGATGTGGATTAAGTCCAAAGTGGATGAGTTTGAATCTTTAAAAAAATGCTAGGTAGCTGTGCTGTTTGAGAGATTGCGGGAATTACAGTATGGGATTGCTGAGGCTCTGAATGAAATAAGTGATAACAGAAGGCTCTCTTGAAAAGTTTTATTTATTTTATTTCATCAAGCATGTATTTTATGACAGATACAGGTGTAAACATAAATATATGAAAAGGATACGAATAAAAGAAAACATTAGGATAGGGACAGTAGGCACGCTGGTGCGCTTATGCACGCCCCTTACAGACCTCTTAGGAATGGGGTGAGGTCCACAGTAGACTAAGGTTAAAGTTTTGGGGATTTGGGGAAGAAACCAGTGTTTCTTAAAGTGTTAAAGTGTTGGGTATTTTGCTGGACCACCTCCTAATGATAATCAGTGCACAAAATGTTTCGTCACACACACACAAGCATATCTATATATAATGAACACTTGAGTTTGAAGAAGCAGGATAGAAAGAGTATTGGAGTTTTTGAATCTTGATACTGCAGAAGACTGCTGAGAATATCATGGATAGTCAAGGAAACAGAATGTTGAACAAATCTACCTAGTGTTCAATGTACAAATGATCGGGCTGAAATTATCATACTTTTACCATATGATGTGAAGAAGGCTGTAATGCTGAGAATGGTGGAAGGAAAGAGAGGAGTAGCAGCAAGGTGAATGGACTCAATTAGTCAATGAGTCTCCGGAGAAGGGCGGCATATAAATCAAATTAAAAAAAAAAAAAAATTACAACAATTTATGTATCAAAATTTAAAACTGCTCACCCTCTCACAGAGGGATTGTGATAGTGCACTGTTGGAAGAGCTGAAGGACCAGGCTGGGGAAGAGATCATAATGGAGAAAAAATCTACAGGTAGTTCTTGACTTACAACCATTCATTTAATGACCGTTCAAAGTTACAACAGCACTGAAAAAAGTGACTTATTACTGTTTTTCACATGCATGTTGCAGCATCCCATTGGTCAGTTGATCAGAATTTGGATGCTTGGCAACTGGCATGTATTGTGATGGTTGCAGTGTCCCAGGGTCATGTGATCACCTTTTGTGACCTTGCAAGCAAAGTCAATGGGAAAGCCAGGTTCAATTAACAACAATTTTACTAACTTAACTATAGTGATTCACTTAACTGTGACAAGAAAGTTGTAAAAGGGGGCAAAAACTCACTTAACTGTTTTGCTTGGCAATGGAAATTTTGGCTGCAATAGTGGTTGTAAATCAAGGACTAACTGTTACTAAGAGTCGACCTTGCCTGACACATAATCATATATAATCAACTAAAGACTTGCCTTTATACTGCCATGGATGTACTTGTTTTTATGATCAAACATCTAGGAAATATTTCTCATATTTTGAAGTCAACATTCCTCCCGATTCTATAATTAAAATAAATTGAAAACCCTATATTGCACAGACATGTTCTGATCAAAAGGACCTCACTTCAGATTATCGGAAAACAATGAAAAGGCATAAGCCTGTTTAGTCATGCTTAAAGTTTACCTGTTTTTCCTTCTTAGTAATGGGATTGCAATTCAGGTTGGGCTCTATACCCCTTCCAGCCTTGGATAAACGGTTCATGTTTAGTCCCTGGTACTACAGTTTGTAATGGTGTAAAGACTTTTTGGAGTCAAGCTCAACTCCAGGATGTCAGCGTTCCAGACAAACCCCCAACTCCAAGTAAAAACTCTGAAGCAAGCATTTTTCAAAGTTCTATTTACTAGAATAGGTAAACTGGCACATCTGGGAAAACCCGAATCTGAGAGGTCAGGGTTTTCCTTCAGTAAATCAAAACCCCCAAAACCATCCCCTCACTCCTCAGTCGATCACACGCTCCAATCATCATCCGTCCCATCTTGAGACAACACTCCGACCATCCTTCTCCAGATGCAGGATCGGCCTGACCTTGACTGGCAAGAAGAATGCTATTATGTCTAAAAACAATCCCTCTACTAAATCCCCTCTCCTACTTTCCCACACATGAGAAGGTGGCAGCATGGAAGCTTCTGCCGTAATATGGCTTCCAAAGCTGACACAGGATATGGCCATATAATTTTCTTGGTAAGAATACAAAATAACATGCTGTTGTCTTCTAGAATACAGGTAGTCCTCAACTTAAAACAGTTCACTTAGTGACCATTTAAAGTTACAAGAGCACTGAAAAAGTGACATGACCATTTTTCACACTTATGACCTTTGATGACCTTTGAAGCATCCCCATGATCATGTGATCAAAATTCAGACGCTTGGCAGATGGTTCATATTTATTACCGTTGCCACGTCCTAAGGTCACGTGATCCTCTTTTTCAATCCACTGACAAGCAAAGTCAACGGGGAAGCAAGATTCTCTTAACAACCGGGTTACTAACTTACAAACTGCAGTGATTCACTTAACAATTGTAGCAAGAAAGGTCATAAAGTGGAACAAAACTCACTTAACAAATGTCTCACTTAGCAACAGAAATTTTGGGCTCAATTATGGACTACCTGTATTTTTTTTTTGACTTTCTTGTTTAGCTTACAACCCTGAGACTTCCTAGTTGTAATCCAAGTGCTAACTGGGTCTGACTCGGTTTAGGTTTTCAAGATCAGCCATGGAAGTAGCTGAATGAACATGACCTATGCTGTATAATGTATTAATATAATTTATTCATATCCCTCCTTTCATTGACTTCATCTTATCCTCACAGCATCTACACAATAGTGTAGTTTGACTGAGAGATATTGACTGGTCTGAAGCCATTCACTGACCTAATACTACATTACTATCAGTATACTATATTATGTTAAGGTAGGCATAATAGTGCTTGAATGTATTGCATAAGAATATAGTGCAGGCTGCAGCATAAAGGTCATTAGATGGTTTGTCCTTGAGTTTTATCTACTTAGAAGCTAGACAACCAGGTATTTATTTATTATTTATAAATAGCATCTTTTCATTTGCCCTATTCTGAGTTATTTGTTTAAATGATAGAAAAGTCTAAATATAAATGATGACAGTCTGAATCTTTGAGGGGACTTTTGCTGTTCTGCAGGAAACAACTTTATTAATTTTTTATCCTGCTTTATTATTTTATAAATAATTCAAGGCAGTAAACATATATAATGTTTATATATGCACGGTCACTCATGCCCTAGTTACCTCCCATATGGACTACTGTAATGCTGTCTACATGGGGCTCCCCTTGAAAAGCACCCGGAGGCTCCAACTGGTCCAGAATGTAGCCGCGCGGGTGATTATGGGCGCAGCTCATTGCGCCCATGTAACACCTCTCCTACGCGAGCTGCACTGGCTCCCGGTCGTCTTCCGGGTGCGATTCAAGGTGTTAGTTATCACTTTTAAAGCGCTCCATGGCTTAGGACCTGGGTACCTACGAGACCGTCTTTTGCTACCAATAGCCTTCCACCGACCAATTCATTCTCACAGGGAGGGACTACTCGGTACCGTCAGTCAAATTATGCCGACTGGCGACTCCCAGGGGGAGGGCCTTCTCTGTGAGGGCTCCAACCCTTTGGAATGAACTGCCCCCTGAGATATGAAATATCCCTGATCTCCGTGCTTTCCGCTGTGCCCTCAAAACCCTAATGTTCCAACAAGCGGGGCTAAACATATGAACATGTGAATGTTTTTAAAATGTTATCTAATTTTAGGTTCTATTTAATTGGGCCAAACTATGTTATAATAATAATTTTAATTAGCAATTTTATGATGTTTGTGTATCTATATTTTTCTTGACTGTACACCGCCTTGAGTCCTACGGGAGAAAGGCGGTATAGAAAATCAATCAATCAATCAATCAATCAATCAATCAATCAATCAATCAATCAATCTCGTTCTCTTGATTTTCCCCTCAAGAACAACCCTGTGAGGTGGGATGGGATGAGAGAGACTGA